CATCTAAGATTAAAAAAAAATTATGTTTGTCTTTTGTTAATCAGCTCTTGCATTAATTGTGTTCCTATATTCAGTCAAAGAGCCGCACAGAACTGAGAAGAAGTGCGGGGAAACTCTGTCTCCCCTACGGTGTGAAATGGCTATTGGTGAGAACAACAGAAAGTTTTAGTGTGGCTTGAATCTGCTGTAAACTTGCTGTTTACCTTGAACAAAGTACTTTTCCTTGGGGATAAGTTCATTTTGCTAAAAAGGAGGAGATGATTTCTGGGATTCATTCTCCATTAAGTCTACGAGACTAAGCTCTCAACACTGTATAAGTGACAATTCCAACCCACAGGAATCTTATTAGGACAATGTAGTGTGTTAAATATAGTTCTCCAAAAGCTATGTCAACATCTTAACTCTCAGAACCTGTGAATGTGACCTTATTTTGAAAAACAGTCTTTTGCAGATATAATTAAGGATCTTGAATTGAGATCATTCTGGATTGTACAGGTAGTCCCTAATTTCAATGATAAGTGTTCTTATGGGAGACAAAAAAGAAGACAGAGGGAGGAGAAGTCCATGAAGAGGAAGAGGCAGAGAGCAGGAAAAGGCCAGGACAGATTCTCCTGCCTTCAGAGGGAACACAGTTTTCCCCACACTCTTACCTCCATAACTAGAAGAGAAAACCATTTCTACTATTTTAGGACACCATGTTTTGGGGAACTTGTTACAGTAACCCTAGGAAACTCATGTAGAAGGTGAAGAAGAAAATAAAAGCAGTGAAAGGCTCCTGCTTTGGAATGAGAGAAACACATTGAGTAGTGAGAGAAACACATTGAGTAGCCTTGAGACTTTGATAACATTTAGTTCCTTCCTTTGTAAAAATAAGAATAAAATAAAAAAGAGACCACTTTTTTTTGTATTTCATTTAAAATTTTTAAAAATAGTGACTATATTATAAGGTGTTTGTGAAGAATAAGGAAGATAATGAATGATTTAGAACAGTGCCTGGTTCATAGTAAGTTAGTCATTGTAATTGACACCATTACACATATGAGAAGGCAATCCCTTCCTTCTTTTAATGCTTTTTCTAAAACCTAACGTGTTTACGCACACATTGCTAGGATCATCTAAAAATGAGACTGGGTACAAGTCCAACCAAACCATGTGCTCTGTCTCCAAATCTGCCTAATTTTTTATTAAAAAGGCAACTATTTGTATTTCCTTATTTGTATGTTAGTTCATTTAGATTGTTGTAGAAATAGACAATACAAAGCACCGAAGATAGCAGGAAACAGTTTTATTTGGCTGCAGCCAGGTTCAGAGGGCACAGCTTTTGCTGTAATTAATCAATCCCCTGAACCCCAGATCAGGGAGTTTCAGAGTTTTATACCCAGCATGTAAGGGGAGGGGCTCAGAAGTTCACAGTTTGCAGAAGTTCACATAAAAGCAGCTTTTTCTTTCACCGTTCTGGGCAAGTTAACCCTTCAAGGACAGCATATGAGGAGAGAGCTTTTTCTCCCCTTTCTTTCCTCCCCCAGCCAGCTGTTACCACGGAGCCCAACTGGCAACTACTTTTATCTTAGAAATGTAGATATCTCTGTGAAGCTCCAGCTCAAGGCCAGAGGCCTTGTTTACACATTTCTACAAACTACTATACTGGATAAATGTTTGTGAAAAACTAGTATGGGGGTGTCCAGCACCTGGAGTGCTGATTTCTTCCAGGCTAACAGCCAAGTAAAATAGAGCAACAAGAAAATAGGAAATTTATCTACATTGAACTCTTTTTTTGTAGAGACTATTTTGCTTATAGTCTTAAAAATCAATTATGGTGAAGATTTCTGGAGAAGCTTAGTTAAGATTTTTTTGTGAAGGAGGGGATGCCACTAAAAGATAAGGTAAGTATAAAACCTGTGGTGTTCTTGACCTCTTTAATGCTGTGTATTCACCAGGCAAATAACAAATATTGTTTTGATGAAATGGATTAGAGAAACACATAATACTGTATTAAAATGAAAATTCTATGACTGATTTATAAGAAAAAGTTCTTAAAATTCAAAATGTGTGGATAATTAAATGCTTGCATAACAATTATAAACAGAATGTCCTGGAAAATTGGGTAAGTGCCTATATTATTTCCTTCTTCTTCATCACATCATCAATATTTTGAAGGGCTGGGGATTTAACCCAGGGCCTCAAACATGTTAAGCAAAAGCTCTATCAGTGAGTGAGCTACATCCGCAGCCCCTCAAAATTATTTTTAGTGGTAGACAGAAAATGAAAGGGAAATTAGAAGGTAAACTGTAACTGAACAAAAACATCCTTGTAATCTTCCAATTTTTATTCAAAGATACTGCTGAAAAAGGGCTTTGTGGAAACAAATTTTATGTAATGCTTTAGAGTTTAAAATTATGTAGCTTATATATATTTAAGTACTAATATGAGTACTAATATGGGCTCAAACTCAGTTTAAGGTGACACCAACATTGTTGACATGGTTTTCTCCTCTGAAAATGACATTTTTTCTAGACAGACTCCAAGATCCTTCCCAAGTCCAAATGTCTCAATTTATGTTCTCCATTGCATCACACAGCTGAGTGTTTTTTCCCAAGGAAAAATGACCTTTTATTAACTGTTAAGATTTATTAAAAGGGCAACTCAAGTGTTTAAGGTTCACTGTCACTACAGTCATGATGCCAGTTGATGCTATGTTTTCTTTGAAGTCATAGAAATGAACCACAGGAGCCTTCTAACTTTGGAAATCACATGTTGTCTTTATTATAATTCTGCTGAGATCACTGCGATGGGAGATTACAGAGGGATATTTAGTCTGTAGCTATTAAAACCCCAAATCATAAAGTGTTTTGGCTCACCTGCAGGGCACTTCTCTGTTACTGAGATCTTCTATTTTAGTGATTAAGACAGAAAATATCTAAGTAGGGAGACAAACCTGAGAACCAAAAAGTTACCATAAAATTTACTTTTTCTTGCTCCCTTGATGTACCTGCTAATAATTGCAAATGTTGTATCTTCTTCCATTATTCTATCAAAAGGAGATTCATATATAGGGAGTATATAGGTAGACCCAAAGCAGCTGAATTTTTTCACCTCCCCCCCTTTTTTTTTTGGGGGGGGGCGCGGGGTGGGGTGCTGAGTATTCAGCATGTGATTTTTATGTTTGTGAATTTTAAGCATTTACTCCTGCATTTGAGTTTTTATTCTTTTGTCCCACCTTTCCAAACCAATAGTACCTCTGTAGGTAGAATGCAAGAATTGCAGTCTACAAATCCGTCATGGTGACTGTCACTAATGAGGCTGCTGCTGTTTCTGTAGGCTCCTGTAGTTCTCTACCATCTCCTCTCTTCCCCCACGTGGGATTACAGAAATCTTTGGCACAGTTGGGAACCTCCTGGGCCTGTAAACAAGACTCCCTAGAGGAACAGAGTAGTCCCTCCTTTGTGATGTCTTTAACTTCCTCCTATCAGGACCTCAGTAATCTGTTTTGGGACTATCATACTTTTTTTTTTTCTACTTCTTCCAGCATTAACTGCTGCTTCCCTCGAAAGTTATTTTTCTAATCTGCTCAGGCTTTTTTGTAAAACAAAATCCAGAGAGTAAGGAGAGCTAATTCTGCTTTCTTGTCACATGCATTAAAACTTTTGCAGTAAGGAAGCCTAGGGGACAACAGGTTGAGAAAATTAGATCTAAAAACATTAATGCTCAGCTATATTAATTTAATCCTAGAGGCAACTACAGTTATGGGAGGGAATAATTTCATAAAAGTATAGAGCATTTATTGCCATGCAAAGATACTTTTTTTTTTTTACCAGAAGCTAAAAAGCTATTAGGAAACTACAAAGTTTAAGTAACAAAAGTACAATAAAATTGAAACACACACACACACACACATATAAATGCGCCAGCATGAAACGGTGGGTATCCCTAGAATCCACATTTCATAAATAACCTTTTAGGAAGATATGTCACAGCTGAATTGGTGAAGACACCTGAGACTGACTAAGGTCTCATTAATATTGTCTTGATTTCTGCTTTATATTTTCGTTGATATTTTTCTGTAATCTACTGGTTAAAAGCCTAATACCTGAATGTATTGGCAATACCAAATACACTGTCCATAGTTTTATCATAGCAGTAGATAAAAGGATTTTAGGCGAGGGAAGCTGTATTAGGAGGGTCTTGAGTTAACAGTTGAGAAACTATTCAAGAAAAAAAGGGGAAAGGCCTTTTGGCCTCTGCTTTCTAATCCTATGAGGAATTGGGTGCAGATGAACAAACTGTTAACTAAAAGCTGGTAATTCTTTTGCAACCGTCATCTCTAGGAAATTTCACAAAATGATAAAAAAAAGGGGGGGGGGGAAGAAGGGCGGGCGAGAGGACCTCCTAATGAGTCCTAAGGTTCCTACTAAATCTTTCACTTCTCTGAGTACAAGAGAGCTCTAAAGCCCCTTCTATGCTCAGTTACCCCGTGGGTCTAGGTCTCCAAAACGTGGAGACAAAGGGCAACTCAGCTCAAAGGACGATGCACGTGTGCCCTCGGGGCTGTGGAGACTTCGGGGACCACGGAACTCCTGAGGTAACTATGGCAGTGCTTTAAAATCCTAGCATCACACCGTGGCAGCGTGCCTCCATGTAATAAACATTCCCACAAAGATGCCTCAAGAAACCATCAGCCGTCCTAGCGTAGCTCAGGCCCGCCCGACCCCGCCTCTCCCGCAGCCCTCAGCGCCAAGACGCTTCCTCAGGCGGAACCCCAGCCCGCGAGGCACACCACACCCACCCAAGCGCCCCACAGCAGAGGAACTGCTCTCTCTCCCAGCACCTCTGCGAGTTTGGCCGCTTGCGCTTTTTGCGCAGGCGTAGAAAGCTGGGCGTCCGCCTCAGGCCGCGCCCTGTTGCTCACGCCCCCACCTCTGCTGGCGCCAGCGGCCGTTTACTTTCGAACGGCGGCCCCGCGCTTTTTCCCATTGGCAGATGTTGCGGAGTTGAACGTTGCTTGGAGACTGCGTCTGCGCAGTCAGGCTTTGCAAGGCCCCGCCTCTTTGGGGCACCTGAAGTCCTTTGGGGCGGAGGAGGACTGGGACCCCTGGCACCTCTCATCTGGCGGCTGCTGTGGTGTTCTGTGTCCTCGTGGTGGGCTTACTTCGTCGCCCACCTCCTCGCGGTGAGTCTGAGGACTTTCTTTTCCGATCTGAGAAGGCGGCTGTAAGTCCCTTTTCTTTTGCTGTAACGCAGGCTGCTGTGCTGGTGTATTTGGCGGGGAAGGTGGGGGCTTGATGATGGAGAGGGTGGGTGGGCTTGGGTGCTGCATCCATTCCCTTGTTTGCCACATGTGTTTGGGGAACAACTTACCTTTCTCCAGTCTGGAACTGCATTGCTCTGAAGGAGAAGGTGCTCTGTTGGGGGTGATGGTGAGCTTAGCGGGACTATGCCGACAGGGTCAACCTTGGCGGAGCCTGGGGCGGGAGATCGCGGATGTGGAGGTGGCATGTTAGCTGGGAGCCTGAGGAGGTTTGTTAGAAACCTTCGAGAAGGGGAAGGAAGAGTGCTGCCATTTTGAGCCCCTTCTTTGTGTGAAGTTTTCACAGAGTTAACAGGGGAAGTTGTTAGTATGCCCATTTTGCAGATTTGAAACTTCACTTTTGAGAGTATTAGTTTAAACAGACCTAGAGTCCCACAACTTTTCTGTACCAGAACTGTGAGATTTGAATAACCTAAATCAATAGAGATTTGAGTGAGTGGTCAAGTGTTTTATGGATGCTTCTTGTCTTCCTGTTAATTTTAAGCAATCTAAAATGACTGAATATTTTGTTCGTCGTCACCATGTTAGTTAAAGCGTCGAAAGCTCGTGAGATATTTGATGCCGTTAAAAGAGTTCCTTTGTATGCCCGGCGCAGTGACCCACCCCTGTAATCCCAGCGGCTCAGAAAGCTGAGGCAGGAGGAGCACAGTTTCCAAGCCAGCCTCAGCAGTTTAGTGAGAGACCCTGTCTCAAAAAGGTCTGGGGATGGGGCTCAGTGATTTAAGTGCCTGGGCTCAATCCTCAGTACAAAAAAAAAAAGTTCCTTTGTGTCAAAATTGGGTTTTCAAGATGCAATCGATAGCTCCACTTGCAGTCCAACAACTGTTGGCATTTGTCACTACTTTTCTAAAAACACAATGAGGTCTAAGTTCTGAAAGGTACACATCGAAGACAGTGAATTAGCAGTCATTCCCGTGACATCGTATTTAATATATTTTTTTTGAGAAACTAAATCTGAATACTAAAGATAAAATTATTTTAATTTTAGAACAACAAAGAATCTGGAAAAGTTGGAGAAGATAAAGTATATCCAGTATCCGAAACAGGAGATCAATAAAGGAGGTAAACTCAGAGCTTAAGTGAATATAAAAGAGATTTTTATGATTTCATAGTGTATGATTTAAACTGTAAGGTGAAATTTAAAAGTCTCTTGAAAAAAGGTATACGTTGGTGGTGTATAAAATTATAACATTATAGAAGGAGCATAAAGTGAAAAGTAAATAATGCCATCATCTGACTTTAAAGGTAGTCATTGTTGACGCTTCCATACCATTCCAGAAATTTTACAAGGATGTGTACATCTCAACACACACACACACACACACACACACACAAATTGAATTATTTCATACATGCAGATATGCAAATTAAATTTTTTGTTATTTGGATAAATTTTTATTATGCATTTACATATTGATCTCAATCATTTTGGTGAGTCATAACTAGCTGTCCTTTGAAGGAAGGTATCATAATTTAATCAAGCAAGATGCAAATTTGACTTTAGGTAATGCTAATATTGACCTTTGAGTAAATATTTTGCTGAGTGTTTTTCACTATTTTCACTTTGAAAAGTATTAAAAAAGCAATTAAAACCTTAACTTTTCATTAATGCTTTCTTATTTTGGGGAAAAAACAGGTTGATGATATAATAAAAGAAAAAAGTACACAATGGGTAAAGAATTAAAATCATATCTGATCATAGAATTTTTTTCTTTTTAAGTTTGAGAGTTATGGTGATGCTTTATTATTTTTGTGTATATTTATACATGGCAAAGTAATTTCTAAAAATTTTCTCTTATGCTGGTCAGGTATACCTATCATTCCTAGCTATTCTGGAGGTTGAGGCAGGAGGTTGAAAGTTAAAAGTTACTGGGAAATTTAGAGGAGATCCTGACTCAAAATAAAATTTAAAAAGGCTGAGGATGTAGCTAAGTGGTAGAGCTCTTTCATGCATGAGGCTATGGATTCAATCTCCAGTGCCACATATACAAAAATCATGTATGTATGTAGGTGATAACAGTGGTAGCTTTTCTTAAGGAAGTCTTGAATTGCGTGAAATGCAGTTTTTATCAGGGCCACAAAGATGTGAGCCCCAGTCTGGGTGATGGCACCACTTGAATTTTCCTAGACTTACAGGTTTCTTACCAGAAGTCCTGTGATAAGTCATCTAACTCTGTAATATAGTAAATATCATTTCTTTTCAAATATTACAAAATCTAATAAATGTTTTATAACCATTCTCATGTTTGGAGATGAAAGACAGTAAAGCTTTATGAATTTGAAACCTAAAAAGTTGTTTACAGAGGAGAATGAGTATAGTATTTTTGCTGTTGCGTAATTCTTCTTCTGTTATCATCATATCTGTTATCTTATATGCTGGTTAGATACTATGGAGGCACAAGTCAGCCCTTTCTGGTGAAAGACTTCATAAAAAGTTTGGAAGTTCAAACATGTTTTTGACATTTAAACACAAGAAATTTGTGAAATAATTTGTAAGTAGATAATTCAGCTTCATTTTTCTGAGATTTAAAAAATATTCATATTTCTTGGTACTTTCAAAAAAAGTGGGAAACTTGAACTAAGTAGTTAAGCTTTTAGTACTCACTGGAGGAAAATATGTATCTTTGATTTTACGTTGTTTTTTTTTTTTTCTTTTTGTATCAGGGATTGAACCCAGAGGCACTTAACCACTGAGTCACATCTCCAGCCCTTTTTTATATTTTATTTAGAGGCAAGAGTTTTGCCGAGTTCATCAGGGCCTCACTCAGTTGCTGAGGCTGGCTTGGATCTCAGGATCCTTCTCCCTCAGCCTCCCAGACTGCTGGGCTTATGGGCGCGTACCACTGCACCCAGCAACTTTTTTGTGTGTGTTTTAAAAGCATGAAATAATATAAACTGATTTTGAGATTATTTTGGCAGAGGAAAGACTTGATAATAATCATGACAGTTAAAAACTTTTTTTAGGTTTTTTATTGTATTAAAATACATAACATGGGGCTGGGGTTGTGGCTCAGTGGTAGAGCACTTGCCTAGCTTGTGTGAGGCTCTGGGTTTGAGCCTTAGCACCACATAAAAATAAACAAAAAATAAAGGTATTATGTCCGTCTACAACTAAAAACTAAAAAAATAAAAAAATAAAGGTATTGTGTCCAACTACAACTGAAAAAATATTTTAAAAAAATAAAATACATAACATGATTTTAATATTTTTTTAAAAATTCAGTTTCTTTTTTAAAAATTTTTGTTTTAGTTGTACATAATACCTTTAGTTGTACATAATACCTTTATTTATTTTTTTGTGGTGCTGAGGAGTGAACCCAGGGCTTCACACATGCTAGTCAAGCGCTCTACTGCTGCTGAGGCACAACCCCAGCCCTAACATTTAAACTATTCATTTTAAGAAATGTACGGTTCAGTGGCATTATATACATTCTCATTTTTTTTTTTTTGGTAACTATTTCCAGAATGTTTTCATCTTCCTAGACTGAAGTTCTGCACTCATTAACCAATAACTACAGTCTCCCCTCTCTCAGGTCCTGACAACTGCCATTCTACTTCCTTTCTCTGGATTGCTTACTTTTTTTCAGATCTAATGTGAAAAATGGATTTTTTCTTCCATTGACATAATTGAATGAATTGTATTAGTAGATTTTCTGCTACTGAATTAACTATTTAGTACTGGTAGAGTGGTAGAATATTATGTGTGTACACACAAGTGAGTGCACGCACATGCTGGGGATTGAATCTAGGGCCTCCCTCATGCTAATCATGTTTACCACTGAACTACTCTTTTAGCCGAGTCACGATACAATATTTTTTTATACTCCCGAATTGTTTTTGTTAATATTGTGTATAGGATTTTACATCAGTTTCCTTTTTTTTTTTGGTTCCAGGGGTTGAACCTAGGAGTGCTTAGCCACTGAGCCACATCTCTACCCTTTTTAAAAAATTTTTTTATTTTTGAGACAGGGTCTTGCTGAGTTGCTGAGGCTGGCTTTTAACTTGTGATCCTCTCTGATTCCGCCTCCTGAACTTCTGGGATTACAGGTGTAGGGTGTCCTGCTGGCTTAGTTTCCATTTTTGAAATTGGCCTATTTTTAGTTTATATTCTGTTAGATTTTGGAATCCTGTTATACTGTCTTCAAAACAATTTGCAAACTTCTTATATTTACTTTCTGTTACAGTTGAGCAAGAAATTGTTTCTTTAACATTTGACAGAATTCAAGAGACTCTTCCCTCCTTCCACCCCTCAGTAGATACCCTATGAGCCCTGGTCCTGGTCCCAGAGTATTTTGGAATCCAGGTATTTCTTGCACATATTAGGCAAGAGCTTGACCAGTGAGCTACATCCCCATCCCCATTCCTTTTTTTTTTTTAATAAAAATTTGAGAAGGTTGTTGCTCAGGCTGGCCTTGAACTTGGGATCCTCCTACCTTACTCTCTTGTGTGGCTGACATTACAGGATTGTCTTATTACCTAGCTTTAAAACAGCAAGTATTAAAACATAGTTTCTATGGATCAGAAATCTAGGAGTGGCTTAGCTGGTGCCTTATGTCCGCTGCCACTTAATGAGTTTGAAGTGAAGCTGTTGGAGTCATAGACTTTACTGGGCCTGAAGTATTGCTTTCAAGCTCACTTATGTGGAAGCTTGCAGTCTTAGTTCCTTGTGGGGTATTATACTTAAGGGCTTAGTTCCTCACCATACCAAGTGTGCCTTGGTCTGCTTATAACATTGGTAGCTTGTTTCCCTCAGTGAGAGTGCTTCAAGAGAGGTAAAGAGACAGAAGCTGTGGTCTTTTATTACTTGCAGGTGATAATAGTACCCTCACTTCCATGTATTTTCTGTGTTAGAAGGGAGTCACTTGGTTCAGTCCACACTCAAGGGGAGGAGATTAGAAAAGAACCCAGGAAGTAGAGGTTGTTGGGGGCCATTTTAGAGGCTGACTGCCTATCACAGATAGCTAAGGCTTGTTTATTTATTAAAATAAACAAACCAGCTTAAGAGGGTTTCTTTGTAAGGTTTGCACTCTAACAATTTATTTTTGGTACTGAAGATTGAACCAGGGTGCTCAACCACTGAGCCACATCCCCAGGGCACCCCCATTTTTAATATTTATATATTAAAAAGTTGTAGGTGGACACCATATTTTTATTTATTTTTATGTGGTGCTGAGGTTTGAACCCAGTGCCTCACCCATGTGAGGAAAGGGCTCTACTACTGAGCCCTAGCCCCAGCCCTTTTAATATTTTGAAACAGGGTCTAGCTAAGTTGCTTGGGGCCTCAGCAGGCTGCCTTTGAACTTGAAATCCTTTTGTCTTGCTGTGATTACATTACTGTGCCTGGCTTTACTCTTGTAAGTTTGTGTTTTCTTTCTTTTTTTCTTGTTGATATTGGGAATGAACCCAGGACCTCATTCATGCTAGCACTCTTGCCACTGAGCTACATCCCACTACAATTTTAATTTTTCTAGTACCTTTATTATTTTATTCAGGTTGTTTTTTGAGAAATGGGGTCTGGCTGTGTTGCCCAGGCTGGTATTGAACTTGTGGGCTCAAGTGATTCTCCTGCCTCAGCTTACAAGGTAGCTAGAGTATAGACATTTACTGTTGTACTTGACTCAAACTGTTTTTTAGCAGAATCTTCATTTTTATATTCCTTCTTTTTTTTCTTTGATTAATGAAAGTGTATGGCTTCAGTTTTGTCTGTAGAATTTTTTTTTTCACTCATTATATATATTCTGGTTATCTACTATGTAACAAAATTCTGAAGGTTTGGCTAGTTGTATGTCCAAGAAGTTTTTTTCACTAACATATCTGACATCTTATTGCTTTTCCACCTGGCCTCTCTTCAGCAGAGTATCCTAGATTTCTATTCTTTTTTTTTTTTTAATTTATTTTTAAGTTTTAGATGGACACAATATCTTTATTTTACATTTATGTGGTGCTGAGGATTGAACCTAGTCCCTTGTGCATGCTAGGTGAGCACTCTACCACTGAGCCACAACACCAGCCCTAGCCTAGATTTCTTATATAGCAACTGGTTGCCAGAATTCTTCCTCTTT